CCCGCCCGGCCCGCGGCCTCTCCCCGCCCAGCGCGCCCGTCCGGGGAGCCCCGAGGCGAGTCGGGGGGTCCGGGTTCTCCGCAGCCCCGCCCCAGCAGCGTCTACCCCCCCCCCCCCCCACCCCACCGCAGGCCGCCCCCGCACCCAGCCCCGCGGGGGGTGCTAGGTGCGAGCCAAGCAGGTTCCGACACACACACACCGCGCCGGAGACAAAGCCGGGCTCGGCGCTTTCGAAAATGAGTTTGGAAGTGCTGTGCTAACTCAGCCCTCAGAGGTCCACTGCATTTTCACGTTTGCTTCTCGTGAATGCTAACGATGTTTAAAAGGTGCTTTCGAATGATCTCATGGGATGCGCTGGGGCAGTCAGGGCGTTTAACCCCATTTTACAGATGAACTAAGTGAGCCGGCCTGAAGTTAGAAGGCTCGCCCGAGGCCACATCGCTGGTCAGTGATGTAACCGTAACCCCGCCCGGGCTCCCCGTGCTGCAGAAGCTCACACTGGAACTTTCCTAATGCTAATGAGACCATCGCACGATGTTGTGACTGGACTTCACAACTTTCCTAGAAACCTTTCCTCCAGACGGGAGTTCAGAGTTCGAGTTCGCCGTAGGTTCTGACCTTCATTTCAGACGTCAAGTCCGGGGTGGGCCAAGGGCTTAGCGCGTGGAGAGAGCCCTAAGTTGAGGACAAAAACTTGAGTTCCCAGCCTGCTACCTGCCTTGTAACTGGGCTCCCTGCCACCCTGGCCTTTCAGTGCATTCTCCACGCCAGACCAGACCAGGTTCCCCGCTGTCCGCTGGGTCTGCACTCCAAGTAAGGCTGAAGTCCAAACGCTTATCAGGCCACCCACAGAATAACCCAACTCCCTGTCTGACCTCATATCCTCCTACTGTCCCCCCAACCCTACCCCACACTGGCCCTGCTCCTGCCTCAGGGCCTCACAGCAGGGCCTCTGTCTAGAATTCTCTTCTCCAGCCATCCATGGCCTTCTCTTTGTTCAGATGTCATCATACAGGCCATTGCTGAGTGCACTCAATTTCAAACCCTCTCTCCAGGGGCGCCTGGGTGGCTCAGTCAGTTAAGCCTTTGACTTTGGCTCCCGTCATGATCAGTGGGTTCGAGCCCCACATCATCAGCTCTGTGCTGACAGCTCAGAGCCTGGAGCCTACTTCTGATTCTGTCCCTCTCCCGCTCACCCTCCGTCTCTCAAAAATGAATAAATGTTAAGAAATCTAGAACCTTCTCTCTAGACTGCCCTCTTACCTTCCCTATTTTATCTTTCTCCATTGTATTTATCACCATCTGACATATACTTAATATTTTACTTATTGTTTGTCCCATCCCCACCTCTAACCATTAGTTCCCGGAGGGGAGCTAATTCAATCACTGCTGTATCCCAGTGCTTAGAATAGTGCCTGGCACGTAGTATGTAAGGAATGCAATTCACTGGCCACCCTTATGACCACCTTGCCTCCCTGGGCCCAGGTTCTTCATAGATTTCTTGGCGCTTGGGCCCCAGCACAGTGCTGGGCACACAGCACATGCTGTATGCATTTGTTAAAAGCAGAGCTCTGTCTCTGTGACCCTGGCATACTTACCAAGGAGCACTGTGCACAGATTTGCATATAAACAAATACTTTATTTGTCCAATTGTGTCACAGCACAAATGCATATGCCTCGAATTGGTTGCTCAAAGTGGATCTATGTTATCTCTACATCCCTTACAGCCCCCCCCCCCCCCCGCAACCTGACATTCTTCCTTGAATCTGAGAAAAAAGGAATGGAGTTATAGCCAGGAACCAGCCACCTGCTTCATCGAAGCCAAACATATACCCTCTTCAATTAGATTCTGTGGATTAGAAAACATGTTAGTGTTTCAAGTCCCTGCAGAATTTGGGGGAATCATTAAATTCTGAGTCTGCCTTTAGATGTGCAGTAGTTTTGAATATTTTGTGTTCTAGGAGGAGAAAAAGGTTGAAAAGCCACAGCCTCTGTGTTCCCCAAGAGCAAGGGGCTGCCTCTCATTCTTCCCAGGTGTCCCACTGGCATGAACCTGATACATCGTAGGTGCCAATGAGTGCTTATTGCATGCAATATTCTTTACAAATATGGGGCCCTAGTACTGCTGTGAGGTCGTCCAAGTCCACAGCTGCTGTTAAATGTTAAATGTTCTTGGTTGTTAAATGTTCTTGGTTGCGGTCCGGCTTTCCACAGCAAGAGCTATGAAACAGTCAACCCTTTGACCCAGTCATCCCCTTTCTGGGCACTGATTCCAAGGACATAATTTCAAAGGAGAAAAAAGCTATATGTACAAAGATATTTATAGCTGCATTATTTATAATGACGAAAAACTGGAATCAAGCAGTAACAGAAAAGTGGCTAAATATGGTATGGCCGTGAGGGAATAGTACACAGCATGAACATGAAAACAGTGAAGGGTACGAGGAGGTAGGGGATGTGCTTTCAAAATACATAAAAAAGAGTTTACAAGGGCGCCTGGGTGGCGCAGTCGGTTAAGCATCCGACTTCAGCCAGGTCACGATCTCGCGGTCTGTGAGTTCGAGCCCCGCGTCGGGCTCTGGGCTGATGGCTCAGAGCCTGGAGCCTGTTTCCGATTCTGTGTCTCCCTCTCTCTCTGCCCCTCGCCCGTTCATGCTCTGTCTCTCTCTGTCCCAAAAATAAATAAATGTTGAAAAAAAAAAAAAAGAGTTTACAAAATTATGTGTAAACCCAATAGTATTATTTATAAACAAAAGTATTTGTTAATTTGATGTTAAAAAATAAAAATGATGCCTAGCTGCTATCAAAAATTAGGAGAGGGGTGCCTGGGTGGCTGAGTAGTTTGAGTGTCCAACTCTTGGTTTTGGCTCAGGTCATGATCTCACTGTTCATGGGATCAAGACCCGTGTGGGGCTCCGTGTGCTGACACTGTGGAGCCTGCTTGGGATTCTCTCTCTCTCTCTCTCTCTCTGCCCCTCCCCTGCTCTCTCTCTCTCTCTCTCAAATAAGCATTTAAAAAAAAATTCTCTCTCTCTTCCTCTGCCTCTCCCATGTGCATGCTCTCTCTCTCTCTCTCTCTCTCTCTCTCTCAAAACAAGGTCCTTAGATGGATGGAGACTAAATGCTAGTGTTTTGGGGTGGAGGGTAGGCACCTCATCTTCTATCTAGAAGCTAGCTCTGAGATGGGCACACAACTTGTACTCAGAAAACACCCAGTGATTGACAGCTCTGACCCCTTGCAAATGCAAGCAACCTTGTCTTATCTTTTTTTTTTTTTTTTAATTTTTTTTTTCAACGTTTATTTCTTTTTGGAACAGAGAGAGACAGAGCATGAACGGGGGAGGGGCAGAGAGAGAGGGAGACACAGAATCCGAAACAGGTTCCAGGCTCTGAGCAATCAGCCCAGAGCCTGACGCGGGGCTCGAACTCACGGACCGCAAGATCGTGACCTGGCTGAAGTCGGACGCTTAACCGACTGCGCCACCCAGGCGCCCCGACCTTGTCTTATCTTAAACACTGTTGTTTATCTATACTCTCCAGGTCCCTCAGACCCTAGACTCAAGCCGAGTACTAAGGGAATGCCCTTAAGCAACCTCTCTGAAGTTCAGTTGTCTTATTGTTATTATTATAATGCATTCCATAAAAGTTTATTGACCTAAACAGCCTTCATCAATCAAATTTTTGGGCGTGGGCGGGTGGGGGGACTTGCAGGAGAATTCAGGAGAAGTGGGAAGCAAGGAGGGTAGGAAAAAGTGGTCCAGAAAATCAGGGGGGACAGTGGGACTTCCCATCTCTCAATTTTACAGTGTGGACAGGGTGGAAGGTGACTGTTGGTGGGTTCCTCCAGTAAGGCTTCTTGCAGATGGAACACAAGCCCCCCCCCCCCCCCCCCCATTGCTCCACTCCCCAGCGAGCCATTGCCAGGACCCTCCAGAGCCACTGTGCTGAGACTTAGCTTCCTGGAACAACAGCTCCAGTTCTTAAAGACAGGGAGTCCAGGCTGGGCTAGGCTTGAACTATAGTTTTATTTAATCTCCAGGACAAGTCCTGTACTTGCGACCGCAGAGCCCCCATTCCTGGAGATCGCCGCTAAGACCCCTCCCCTGGGCTAAGCGTTTCTTGAGGGACCTGACTCCTAGACTCTACCCCTAAGGGGGATCTGAGCCCCGCTGGCCCAGAGAGAGTGCGGGCGCGGGGTCGCAGCGGCTCTCAACTCCCCAAACGGGTGCAACTCCCCCAGCCAAATCACACCCGAGCGACTGACTTCCTTCTCTTTTCTTTAAAAAGAACTGAAACTCAAGCTCACAGTCTTGAAAAACAAAGGCATCTCTCCCTGCCTAGTCCTATCCCACCAGTCTAGACCCCGTTGGTCCCCAGCCCCGCTCCCAGGGTCGGCGCGTCCTTCACTGGGATCCACGCGCGGCTCCTCCCCATGCGGCTCCAGGACGACCTGTGGCGGAACCGGCCCGGGGAGGTGCCCCCGGCTGTGCCACGGACCGGACAGCGAATGGACTCCTAATTCTTGCTTTTCTCCCACTTCCTGCTCCAGCCGACAGGGAAATCCTGAAGTGGCCTCTTGGGATTGGGCGCCTCT